AAATTTTGTTTGGCAACAGATTCGTATTTATGCTGGTTTCAGTGTCCTGGGGTGACCTTTTGACAAAAAATAAAATTTTTAATCAAGCCCCCCCCCCCTCCGGTCAATGGTGTCCCTCTTTACCAATCTGAAAATCTGGTCACCTTAGACTAGGTTCATCCCTGAATGATGAAGTAAGGAACTGAATGATAAAGTAAGGAACTGCAAAGGGGGGGGGGGAACAGGAAAGCTGCAGAAATAGCTGTACCTGTGACCATTTTTGTAAGGGGGGTAGGATTACTGAAATATATGCTGTACTAAGGTTTAAAAATAAGATGCATGTTTAATGAAGTTACTTTGATCCTCTCTGCAGGACACAAGGAGTTCATCTCCCTCAGTTCAATAGCTTAGTGTTATTTATAATTATTCTGTGTGATACTGTCTGTATTTCAGTATTGTTCAGAGGTGGTATTCAGGTGGTTCACACCACTTCGGGTGAACCAGTAGGAGAAATTTGACCTGGTTCGCCGACCGGTAGCAACCTCTGGCTGGCCCTGCCCTAGCTTGCCCAGTAACCTGGTCACCACTCACTTGCCCTGCCCACTCGCTCAATGCTCGCTCGCCCCGCCCACCCACTCAACACTCGCTCATCCTGACTGCCCACTTGATGCTCACACCACCCATTCCAGCCCTATATATGTTGCCTTCACCATGCGGTCCAGCTAATCACCTCACTAGTCGCCTCCGCACCTCGCCCGCTCTGATCAGCTCACCAAAGGTAAGCATGTCACCTGCTTGCCCTTCGCCTTGGATCAAGGGACAAGGCCCAGGGATGCACCATTCCCTGAGACCCCGGAGCCTCCACCTGCTTGCCACCTTGTTTAGGTTGGGAAATGCATCATTTCCTGGCTATGGCCTTCCCGGGACCTCCTCTGCATGCTTCCCACTCTCCCCTCACCATGCATTGCCCCGTTTCCCCTCCTTCAAAGGCTATGGCCCTTACTTAATCTCCCCACGGGTTTATTTTAATCCTCCTGTCCTGTGGCTGGTGGCAGAAGGGAAGTCAAGCTAGGGGTGAGCCATCACCGCTGGGTTCTCCACCAGCCTGCATCTCACCCCCTTGTTGTAAGATGCCATTTTTCTCCCCCATCACTGCCTTTTTCTTTGGGCTTACCTTCCTCCCTCAGCTGCTGGTCCAGACTCCGGAAGGCAAGGTCTCTTTTTTTGGTGTGACTGCAAGAAGCCTCCCAGCTGCCACCTCTTTGCCAGCCTCTTCCTATCAGCGGCGACTGGTTGGAGGCCACCGAAAACTACTGCAGGTCTTGAACACACCAAAAAAGCCGCTGCCATCGGCTCTCTTTTCTTTGCGCCGGCCGCGTACATGCATCCCATTGCCTGCTGTGCCGGAGAGACTTACCCGGGCAAATCCGAATGGAGTGTTTGGTGTTGAAGTGCACTCCTTATAGTGGTGTAGTAATTTTATGGATGGTACTTTTAATAAAGATTACAGAGAAAACAAAGTAACATTGAAGAAGAATCTAAGTCACACATTTTCCTTTTTTTATGAGAACATATTAAAAGAATCACACATGTAATCCATATGATTAATTTTATTCATCCATTAATAATGCAATTATGTGGTTGCTGACTTTTTCTGTTTATTTTTCTGAGAAATGATAGACTCACAGAAATGTCAATTGGCATTCTGGGGTCACATACACAATTGTCTATATAATGTTCAAGTAAGCCAAAATGGCACAGAAAAACTACAGCATAAAATATTTACCAAGAATGTGAAACAACAAGAATTCCTAGCCAGCAAATAGATCAAATGAAGTCTTATTGGATGTCAGTGAAAATGCAACAAAAATACAATATTCCTTTTTTAATGATTATTCCTACACATTTATTGAATGCCAATAGAGTTTAGAGTTATCAGCACTACTAAAGGACTGACAGTCTACAATGGAAGGGCAAAAAAAGATGATGCTGGATTGGATAGCTTTTCACCAATGAATTAGTTCAAAGAAAAATATTGTTACTACTTTGGGCACTCTTATAATTTACCATGAAGGTTCTGAATAAAGATAATTTCCTCATGAAGATTTAAGAAAATTACTGAGATATAATATCTTCTCTGTCCTGAACAATAACCCAATTCAACAAAATTGTTGCATCCTGCAATAAGTTGACATCAATAGCATCCCTGTGTCTTTCCCTCTTTTCATTGACATGACAAATTGAATGTGTGCAGGGGCAAGCAAGCATTTGGGGATTAAATTCTTGCCTTATGGAATTTCATTCACCCCTAGGAAAAAAGGATACGTCAAGACAGAAGTGACTGGGTTAGAATCAGAAAGATGGCTGTACTTGCTTTTCTTTGGTTACTCTTAGTATATCTGCTATAACAAATAGGGCTATCAGTCTCTGTGGTTTTCCAATTTCATCTGGAACATAAATGATCTTTTTGCACTCTTAATCTCAAAGCAACATGTTGTGCCACAAAGAATATTTTTTTTCTATACGGTATTATAAGGAGTGAAATGAACTTGAAGACTTCACCAAGTCATGCTTGCTTTATCTATTACTATGCATTCTTGAGGAATAATGTTATAATAATTGATTAATTCCTTCATTAACAAAAAGAACAGATAGTGCAAAACCAGAATTTCTTATTAGATGTGGCTTTTTCCTATGCTATGGCAGCCTCCAGTTCTGTTGTCGGGTGATCATGTGCTCCTTCCCACAGCCCACTAGAAAGAACGAGAGGTGGCAGGTGTCCAGGTTGAATCAGTTAATCTGGAGAAAGCAGGTTCCAATTGTGTGTCCATGTTGCTGGCAACTGTGCCTGATAAACCAGATGAGGATGTGGCAGGCAACGCAATGCTGCTTCGCAGAAATGGGGAACTGCTGCTTACATCACTTGCCAGATTAGAAACGTTGACAGCATTGTTACTGACAGTCCAGAGGCAAGGATAGTGACTGCAACAAAGCAACAGACACAAAAACCACAACTGAAATTTGCAGCTACCGTTATCATTGCTTGACGTACGACAGGAACAGATAATCATTTTTTTGGCTGAAAATTGTATTTCTTTATTCAATGCATTATTTGTCTTGCAAAGAAATAGGGCTCCAGAATTATGATTTTATGCAAGTATATAGCGCCCATTTTTCATTTTTTTTCCTAACAGGGCAAGGTTGGGGAGAATTTCTTGCAGCTTTAGGTGCTTCAGCCTATTGTGGTAAAACAATTTAGTAAAGCTCCAAGATTCAAGAGAATTTTTTTTAAAAAAATTAGAAACCACAGGAAGCCTTTAACATGATAGTCTGCACTTGATATACAGGAATATAACATTCAAAACTTTAACTTGCTTAATTTTGTTTTATCCATATTTCTTCTTATCTAAGAAC